GACGAAATGAAATCAACGCGATAAATATGGCAAGTTGCACACGCAATACCCACACCCTGTCCACAGGTTATGTATCCTTTAAAACTTTTCCGTTGCCATCTTTTTAGAAGGATTTACTGGCAAAGATAATTCAACGAATAACAAGATATAAAATAATAAAAATGTACTTTAAATAGCAATACAACTGCGCACTCATATTCCATATACACGTCAAGGCAAAGAAAGTGGGTAAGTGTACCGAGATTGTTTTCTCGTGATGATCACCAGTTGGAATACCACCACCGCATGGGTGATTCGGTATGAAGGAACAATAACAGAGTTAATTCCTTTTTTTATTTCCCTTTCTTTGCTACCGGTATATTGCCCACTTAGAGGTTGTAACTTTTCGACTATCAAGGGATTTGGAAATTTTCTCTCCAATTAAAAAGAGAAAAATAGAATAGAAGAAAGTTTCAGCAGGAATCAAAACCTCCAACCCTAAGATTCCCAAGCACCTATCTTGACCACCCAGCCACCAGGGTGTTGATGCAGAAGTTGGTTGGAAAATGTGTCTTAGGGCTGCAACACGCAATGCTGCCTACACATAATAGTATACTATGCCTCTCTCTATCTCTCTCTCTCTCTCTCTCTCTCTCTCTCTCTCTCTATCTATCTATCTATCTATCTCTCTCTATCTCTGTCTCTCTCTCTCTCCCTCTCTTTCTCTCTTTGCTATTGGCGCGCCTGGTTGTGATGAAGCCGAGACCCAAGGTCGGCAGAGCATCCCAGACCACGCCACCACTCCCCTTATTCATGGCTCACACATGACGGGTTTACGTGGCTCTATTAAAAAAAAATAAAAAATACCATACAGGGATACTAAAATAGCCATTTTGGATCAGTATTTCAGGCCGAAAACGAAGCTCGGTATACATTGCAAGTAGAATAAACACTAAACGCTGTCTATAAAAACCTCGGCTACGCCTTGGTTTTTATAGCAGTGTTTAGGTATACAATAAATGAGGAGGCCGAGGGTTTATGACCAATAAAAACTAATTATAAAAACCTCGGGGGACCTCGGTTTTTATAATTAGTTTTTATTGGTCATAAACCCAAGGCCGGAGCATTTATTGTATTTAGAATCAACCAGTAAAAACTCCTACTCAATCTCCAACAACAAAATTAGCGGACAACTGTTATTTGTGTTGCTATGACAACCCGTGTGCTGGACGAGTATTTGTTGTCATTGGTTCAATTTCTTTTAGTCTTCATAGGCTATCAGATCATTTTCCTTATTCGGTCTATTTATAACCAGTATCTATAATGAGAGTGTGGTCTGTCTCCATGGTTACCGGTGTTCATTTCATAACTATAGCCACTGCTCCTTGTTAGACCTTATCTGGAAGGCCCATTCTTACATATTCCAACAGCAGCCAAGGGAGCTAGCTCTCTTGGTTATGCGGACTGGGTCCGATCCTAAAAAGCTGTTTTTATGAACTGTTTTTATGAACTGTTTTTATTGGATAGGATATGATTATGTTCAATAAACGAGGTTTGTGTCAATGGGAGATTGACTTGGAGTTTTTACGAGTTGATTCTAGATTCCCATAAACACTATGACATTGGTGGTTACTACTACAGTAAAACCTGTCAAGGCGACCACTCGGATAAGGCGACCACCTGTCCTAGAAGACCCCTGCAGCCAGGACCAAGGGATGCCGTTCCCAGTCAAATGACACTGGATAAGAAGACCACCTGTTTACAGAGACCACACTTTAAATGTCCCTTGAGCGGTCGTCTTAGACAAGGTCCGGTGTATTCTGTACATAGAGAGAAAGTTCCTTGCTCAATGCAATCATCAGGCGACTATAGCATTGCATTGATTTCATTGATTGCATTGAGCAAGAAACTCTGAGTTGCGACAAATCTGTAAACCTCTGTTGTGTCTTTTGTTTGTAATAGTGCTCGACATTATTGTGTTGAGCCCTCTCCGCTGGCAGAAGGAAGTTTGTCTCCATGCAGAGAGAAAGTTCTACATTTTTTGAAATTAGAAAAAATGTGTCAAAACACCAAGTTAGTGCTGAGGACATAGTTTTTTTCTTGGGATGGACGTGGGGGAGGCTTGAGGCAGGAGCAGTTGGCCATGGCCGTATGGCAATGTATCGGTGTTGGTATCGTCTTTCCTACACCTAGTCATTGTTTTCGTTTTTGTATAGGTCCCGTGCTGGCGGTGATTGGTGGAGGCGGTTTTGGTGCTCGTGTCGGGGAGAAAGAATATGGGATTAATAGCGGCGTCATGAAGTGGAGGTGGGGTACACCAGTGCAGAGCTATATCAGATATTTATTATCTGAACAGAATAATGAATTTTCAGTTGATTACACAGCATGCAGTCAATTGCCTATAGTCCTCTGATTCAAAAATTAATCATAGTAGAGAACAGTATGGTTTCTTCAAGCTCACCGCATATGTTATATTCCCTCCCTGCTACTTATGTTATAATGCCCTCCCTGCTTTCTCCAAATCTTGTTGAGGATATGAATGTAGGATAGTTTTCTAAACACCTTGTTTTGTCTTTCAACGACGATTATTTGGGTATATCACCTCTCTCCTTTCAAAAATTGAACAACACAACGCTTTATTTTCCAACACACCTTTCCAGAAGCACACCGACTCCAAGTGGTATTTCTCCAAGTCTACCCGCACTTCTTTCCTGCTCTGTTTCGACTTTCTCTTTCCGTCGTCCCTCTCCTTATTTGTACATTGAACTGTTGGAGCAAACCTACAGAATTGATCTGATCTAGAAAAATTAATAGCGTTCTTACCGACCAAGCAGACAATTTTCCTTGGATGATTTTGATGTTCGGGGACAGGAATAGTGTAATTTTCAAGATTGGCTCCTTTCCCACTTTTATAATAGTAGTGATTGGGACTACCATACAGTGTCCACGGTGTGTTCCACTGAAAAGTACTAGCCACACTTTCTGCCTCACTAGCAGTAAAACCTGCTAGTTTACCGTTCGCATTACTACGGGATGACCACCCAATAAAATTTCCGAACGTGACATTCTTATAATTAAATTTTATTGATTTTCCCGCATTATACCACAGTTTGTTGTTCAGGTTATTTCGCTTCATTTTTTGAGGTATGAATTCCTTAACTGCAGACTCGACATGCAAGCTCCATACTGACCAGGCTGTGTCAACATCAGGTCACGGCTTGTTTGACTTTGTCCGTTAGGCCGTGTTTGCATAGATATTCTGATGGCATCAAAGACAGTTAAAGATTTTGTTGGTTGTGTGTCGGGGGTATTGTCCCCGCCGAAACTGAATGCAAGTTTAAGAAAGACTAGGTCTAGTGAGTTATGATCAGAAGTGTCCTGTGGGTCTAGCCCTCAGCCCCTCTGCGGCAAGCAGTAAACTATATTTACACCAAAAAGCGCAAAACAAGACTTGATTTTTTACGCGGCTCTTTTCACTACCCACAGTCAACTGGGAACTTGTGGCCAGGCACAAGGGGTACATGGATGCAGCTAATGGGGTCGTTTTCGGCACTTGTGCCAGTGGTTGTGAGACTTGCCCACTCACCCCCACCGTTAGGCGCTGCATCTGCCGCTAGGGTTTATCGGGTGTTAGCGGCCGTCGTGAGTTCCCTTCCGGAACGGATACGATAATTTACTTTTACTTACTTTTCACCATGATAATTATTGTACACGTGTTTTGAAAATTTGAAATTCTCATGGCAACTGGTGGGTGAATCATGCAAAAATGCAAACGTGCCCGCTGTTGAGTGCAGCCATGTGAATCCACACAGTCACTTTTCTCGTAAATCACTCGCCGTAAAACGTGCAAGTGGCTGTCGTGTGAATCGCCTATAACTGACTGTCTGCTGTTGTCGAAGTATTTTCACACCAAGGTTCAACTCGAGTTCAACTCGAGTTCAACTCGAGTGACAGGACTGCACCCAAAAAAGGTCAAACAGGCTTGTAAGTTGTACCCTGCACCGGGCACGGTGACCAGGTGACTGGTGTACGCGGGAGCACGTGACCGCTTGTTCAACCATGTTCGATTGGGAATAAAGGAGGAACGCTGCATCGCAGCCTTTTTGGACCAAAACCAGTCGACTCAGCGTCTAAAAGACTACAACCCAGCCGGCCCAATCGCGGTCATCCGTGCTTTTATAAGAACGACATGGCGTTTTTAGTGACATTTTGCATACAAATCCCCATCTAGTAGGGCGCAGTCACTCAGTTTCGGTGGAAGTGCGCGAGTTCGATTGGGAATAAAGGAGGAAGGGAGCGTCTCAGCTTCCTCGGACCAAGACTATTCGACTCAGTACCCCGAAGACTACAACTGGTGAAAATGTGATTTTAGGGTATACTTCCCCTTTAACAGTGCGCTTTGTGTGCATGTGTATACTGGGGTTACTATGATGGGGGTCTGGGGACAAAAGCCCCCAGATGATGCATTTTTTTTTTCATCCTACTGATATTTGGCCAAAATGATGTGGCAACACTGATGTGTGTATGTTTGTTCGTTGACAGGCTGGATTCATGCAGTTCACACTCCTGTGGATTCGCTAGTGTTCGTGATTCGCTAGTGTTTGGTGGAAACTTTCTGCACAGTTTCAACATAAGCGGTCAGCTTGCCGTGGCGGACATTGAAGAAACTACTAAGGTACGTGAACTGTGCTGTGCATGTCTGTCATATCTTCTACAACTCTACCACGGCAATGCCTTGTGTGAGCTTTCCAAGGCTTGGAGTTGTGCATGAAGGTTTCTGTTTTGTTATGCTCCTACGTCGTTCATCGATGTTGCCGTAGAACTGTGTGTGTATGTGTCTCTGTCTCTCTCTGCCTCTGTCTCTCTCTGTCTCTCTGTCTCTGTCTCTCTCTCTCTCTGTCTCTCTCTCTCTCTGTCTCTCTCTCTCTCTCTCTCTCTCTCTATCTATCTATCTATCTCTCTTTCTCTCCCTCTCTCCATCTCTCTCTCTCCATCTCTCTCTTTATCTCTGTTTACTTCACTTTGTTCCACTATGACTCCCTTCGTGTCTTATCATGCAGGGTTCCGCAGAAGTTCCGCTTTCCCTTCTTCACGCAGCTCATGTGGTACGCACTGGACAAGTACGCGCACTCTCTGCGTTACTGCCTGGAACAGTTTCACGGGTACAAGCCTGATGACAGTACCACCATCACACCCACTGGCACCATCGTCATGGACGCCATAGATACTGTGGACAACACCATCGACATTGCAATGGACACCACCATTGACACTGCCATGGACACAAGTACTAGCGGCAAGGAGAAAGAAGAGAGCGATACTTCCCACACTGCTACAACTACTGCTGATGCTACCGAGCCGAGTGATGCGAAGTGTGAGACGGAGAGCGTTGCAACACCAGAGCCACCTGTTGCCGACGCCACCCCGGCAAAGTCCACACGCGTTGAGAAAGCGCACGTTTCCGACAGCCCGTCCTCCGCTAGTCCCAGAATGCGGCGTCGCAAGGCTGCAATCGCCGTGGCCGCCGCCATTTCCATCACCGTGGCAACACCGACGCGTGCCTCCTCAGCCGCCTCCGCCAGCTCCAGCCCGACACCAACGCGTGCAGCAGCAGACAGCGCAGCCGCCGTAGCCAGCTCCAGCCCTACCCCATCGCGTGCCGCCTCCACCCCGTCGTCATCGCTGGTGGTGCGTACCAGTGCTGAGTCGTCACCCAGTGCACTGACGGATGAGACGCGGCCGGATCATCCTTGCATCTCCACCAACTCCAGTGCCAGTAAGTTTGGTGGAAAGCTGCGCTGATATAGTAAAATAATATTATACAATCATGTACATTCGTGTTGATGCTTTCTTATCTGATCTTAATATGATAAAAAAAAGTTTAAAAAAGTATATTATCGTGTGCGTTCCGGAAGGGAACTCACGACGGCCGCTAACATCCGGTCAACCCTAATAACACCCGGTACACCCTAATAACACCCGGTAAACCCTAACATCACCCGGTAAACCCTAATAACACCCGGTAAACCCTAATAAAAGTAAAAATAAATAAAAAATTCGACGGATCCCTGTACAACATATGCGGTGTTTATGTTTGTACCATCATCAACAATAATAGAAAACAGGATCACTGCACTTCGGAGTATCCAAACATAAATATGTAGTTATCCTGTCAAGCAAGATTACATAACCCCATGTACTCTTGTGTCAAAGCACAGGATCTTATTCCTACAAGGGAAGAGGCTGCACAGTACACGTATTATCACAGTTTATCAGACGTATTCGGAACCTGTGGTGGACAAAGCCCCATTAGACCTTGTACAGACTAGTGCAAAGAAAAACGTGTGATGCGTTGATTCGCCGTACACATGTCGTAATAATCACTGGTGCGTGGAACATTGCATCATAAAAATGACGTCAACTTGAAATTCTGTCGGGACAGCAGGGTGTGTGGGAGTTTCACACTCTTCGGGGGTTATACTCTAGTTTCAGAAATTTTAGATGCTCAGTATTTTTCGGTATGAGGGCAAAAAGGCCAGGTTAGGCGAACAGAAATGTTAGGTACAGAGAAGCAGTTCCCTATTGGATTACGTGTGTTAGTGTTTGTTCGGTGTATTGAAACTTTAGGTAAGAAACAGACGCACCAAACGTACCGAAAAAAAAGTACACCAACAATTTGTGAAATTACAGTACTCTTGTTGTTGGGTGTTGCCGGTTGAATGCTGTTCACGGCGGATTAAAATATGGACTTGTATACCGTAAAATTCCGTAAATAAGCCAACCCTAAATAACGCCCATGTCCGATAATAAGCCCAGTTTTAGGCGGTGTACACTTCAAGTCCGTTTTAGCACCCATGCCCGAAATAAGCCCAGGGCGTCAAGTGGACTCAAAATGACCAGCGCGCGAGCGTGCGTTCGAGTACAAACTGTAAAACAGTTGTAGATCGAGTAGTGGAGAACTCAACACTGTCACGGCGCGCGAGGACAGCGATGTTCCGTTGGAATGTAGCAAACTGCCAAAAAATGTGGTTTGATGTACCTGTACCGCGCTCAGTGTGAATGGTGGTTCACTGAAACTAGTGGGTTGCTGATAGATTGATCTTCTGCAGATTGCATCCGAAATAACGCCCATGCCCTAAAATAAGCCCATGCCCAAATATACGCCCGGTTGTTGACGCTCTGCAAAGTATACGCCCGGGGCTATATTAACGGAATTTTACGGTATTCTGATTGTCTGATCGCTGACAGATACGGACGCAGCGAAGCTCTCTCTGGCGCCCACATGCGCCGAGATCCCACAGCTGTCAACGGATGACACTGCAGCCCAGTCGCCAGCGACAGCGGCAGCTGCTGCTGCTGCTTCGTCAGGAGACGGGAACAGCTCACAAGGCGGCAAGCCACCTCCATCACCGCCATCCTGCCCGCTCTCGGACATGGCCTGTCTCAGCTCGTATGAGATTGATGGCTTGCGACGGCTGCTGGCCGAGCTGAACGTTTCCACGACGATGGTGAGGGCGTGTCCCGAGGAGCTGGGGGATCCTGGGGAGCTCATGTCGACCGTGGAGGTAAGTTGTCGTGTGTAATGTGTGGGTAAAATCGAAGTTATCGAAAATAAATCTCCACCGAAATTTTCCGGTTTTACAGTAGCCTATCTTCAGGGACATATAATAACTATTGGCGTAGATTTGTGTAATCGTTTTGCCTTGTATTCTCTTGTCAAATGTACACCGTAGATTCTGTTGAACGAGTATGAAAGCCAGTATTCTCCTCTGCAATGTACAAGCATTTTCCTGTGCAATGTATGCTGTATATTCTGTTGAATGAGTATGAATTCTCCTGTGCAACGTGCGCTGTAGATTCTGTTGAACTAGTATGAAAGCCGATTTCGCGAGGACAAGGCCACTGGATATTTAATGCTCATACCGGGAATACAATCTGAGGTATGGTGTGGTGAATTGCTGTGTGGTACTGCTGCTGCTGCTGCTATTGCTGCTAATAGTGCAGCTATTGCTGCTGCTGCTTCTGCTGTTGCTGATGTTGCTCTCCTCTCCATCCCCACCATCTGCCTCTGGAATATTTGACAGTCGCAACATGTACACGTACATGTAGTAACAGGTATATGTTCATGGTGTTTCTTTCCTTCTGCGTGTGTAGAATCTGCGTGTGTCGCCCGCACCAATACCTGACAACATTGTGGAAATAGTGGCAGTTGAAACAGAGATTGTATGCAAATCCTCAGCTGCTACTGCATCTCCAAGAAAGACAGCAGGTAAGCTACAATGACAGGGGCGTCACAGGGTGGTTGGGAGTGGTACAAGGGGGGGGGGGGTCCGGGGATGTCCCCCGGGAGAGAAAAAATTCGGATTTTTCGGCCAACAGGGCACGTTTTAGCGCTCTACAGCCACAAAGGAGGGTTCTCCTAGCACTTATCAGACAACCCCACTCGTACTCCAGCTCCAAAAAATACTTCTCATGGATTTTTTGATCATACTTCGTAGGTAGCCAAAGCAAAAAGGAAGCCATTGCCCTCTAAAAAATCGCAAAATCCGAAGTACAAGCGTGCTGCTTGCTGCACGTTCTAGCGCCAGCCGCTGTGCAAAAACGTATGTTATTACCACAATGACGATGATATTGCTTTCACAACAATGACCACAACCTAACTGGGTTATCAGTAGGAGCAGTGACACAGCCTTACTGCTCCAAGTAGGATTTAGAAGAGAGTGAAGGGAGAGCAGACCGGGCCGGTCTAAGCAAGGAAGTAATCGGCATCAGAGGTGAGCACGCAGCATCGCAGATCGTCTCGAATTGCGCATCACATCAGCGGCAAAATTGCTCCTGTGCATGCAAGTGGATTTCCTTGCACTTCTCAGTTTGGGAAATGCTCGATTATGATAATTCTGCGTGCGAGTGCACTAGCCCTGAACATACATGTAGGTGACCCGTTTGTGGTGTCTCATAGCCTACCTCACGACCTTCTGCTTTCTTTCTGCATCACTTGTATCTTGCAGGTATATCATCTCGTGACGACCACATTGAAGTCTGAATTTGAAGTGCGAAGATGCTTCAGCAACCACATCGTACTTTTTCATTGCTTTCATTGTGCTTCTACTGTGCATGGGTGTAACTTGTGGGGTATATATGTGATGACATTGTATGCTGGCGACACGGTCAGATTTTGTCCATGCGTGATATCCAACATGGGAGTTCATCGACGACCATGGCCTGTGGACCAGCGTCCCCAGCTGCATCCACAGGTAGGAACCTGATTGATTGATTGATTTTATTTGGATTTGCGAGACCAAACGAGCAGGAGTGCTCAATAACAGGGTAGCGAATGGTTGAGTTGTGCTGTGTGACAATGTAGTGTGTGCGGAGGCCCAATACGATGAAAGGGGATGGGAGGAGAGAAGGCCAGCGGAGAGTCAAACTCAGAAGAGGGAGGAGAGAATAACTGAAGTACACATTTACTGTGCGAATTCAAATAAACCAGACAAACAGCAAAACGAGTACACAACTCACGAGAATAAAGAGGACTGGAGCACAGAATTGACCTGCTGAAGTACACAGCTGACGAGAATAAAGACAGGAGCACAGAAATGAACGGGAGGCAGTCTACGAAGTGGTGGTACCACCGGTGCATGCACCACGGTACATTATCACATTATCGGCTTTGCAAAGTTCGTGGGTACTGAATACCCTGGTATGGCCAACTGTGTAGCCGTCTACAACGACTTACGTGTAGGGAATGGCAGCTTGGCGTAATGCTGGGATGTTGCCCATAGCTCGCACCGTGTCAGGTATGTGGTTCCATAACAGGCAACCGCGAGATGCCGGTCGGCATTGGCCTGCTCGGCTTCTGACTATTGGTTGTAGGCCCAGACTGCGCTGAAGGCGAGTTGCTCCGCAGTTGCGAACAAACAGTGCCTGCAGAGAAGGACTGGCATGGTTATGAACGCACCGCCATACCAGCACGAGCAGTTTCTGGCGATATACCTCGTCCATGCGATAAACAGAGAGCCTCTCCAAGAGATCACTGGCCCTGGTAAATCGTGGTCGTCCGAACACCGCCCTTGCTGCGCGGTTTTGGGCCACCTGCAAGCGGTTTAGCTGGTTGTGGGTCAAGCCGGAGCCATATGCTGACGATCCATATATCAAATCCGGCATGATGACAGATAGGAAGTACTTGCTTCGCCTAGCTAGAGTGAGGCAGCGTCGCGCCCGCCACAGACTACCGATCTTCCTAGCAGTGCGTGAGATGCACCGGTCAACTTGCGGTGACCAGGTCATTCGTTCATCGATTAAGACGCCGAGGTATTTCGCGCTGGTGGTGTGCGGAAGCACATCATTTCGACAGCGTACACCCACGTCCGGCTGCTGCCCACTGCTGCAGGTAAACACCAATACATTACTCTTCTTTGCATTTAATACAAGACCACGAGCGTCCAGCCAACTTGAGAGGGAGGTAACCGCCAAGCTGAGCGCATCAGACACCTCTTGTGCTGTCCGCCTTGCACATGTCAGGGCGATGTCATCCGCAAACTGCAGTGATGATGCCGGCGCAGATTCCGAGGGGATATCTCTGGTGTATATGGAGAACAGCATGGGTCCTAGTACAGAGCCCTGCGGCACACCACAAGTGCACCCTCGTGCTACTGCTGCGTTCCGGTCACGTCATTTGCGATTTAGGTGGATCAGTTCACATTTGGGGGTACAATGAGCCAGTTTTAATTTCTTACTTTTACGACGGGGCAGCGCCAGTAAAGGTTTTTCAGAACCGCTCACAGAGCGGTTCAAGTAGTTATATGGATAATGTAACTTATACTCAATATGCTACCTGTGGTGTGGTGCAAGCTCAGCACTGAGCTAAATCAAGCTAAATCAAACATACAGCCTACACAGCCTCTAATGGCCCTCTATACAGTGCTGCGATGGCAGAACTTCTGAAGTTCACATCACCTTTCTTCCTCCAGCTATGCCTGTGACACCCTTTGTGAATCTGCGAAACACTAGTGGCAGGCCACGCGAAAATGAGAATGCGCGCAGCCAAGTTTAGGCCATCATCTCCTTCATCCATCATCCCGGCTGTAACTCCGCCCGTTCAATATCCAACACCAGTCCCCAGGAAAGAATAAGGCACGAGATTTCAAGTTCAAGGGCAAAGCTAAAGCCAATGGCACTGATTTTTGGAATTGTCGAGTAGAACGAAAATAAAATCGAAGGCGATCATAATGACGGTCAGATTCGATACACACGTGACACAGTTTGGGTCGCGCTCGTGTGTCGCGCTTCGCAGCTCGAGCGCGCCCATGATATGATGAGTCTCGCGCTTGCGACAGGCTAGCCGCTTGCGACAAAAGTTGTCTTTTTTTTACGAATTCTGTGACGTCATGTTTTGGAAGAATGTCCCAACAGTCATTCGCGTAGTGATACCATGGATACGTACAGTCAGTGACTGCTGCGAGTTGTCGAAACCGGACGGAATGCGCACGCGCAGTCGCGCACAGTGCATGCACAAATGCGAATGCATTATGGGAAAGGGAGATCACGTCATCGCCTAAAAAAAAGCTGTCAACAAAACAAGATCAAACCCTGCACAACTGACGTAATGGTGACATGATGAAGATGATGGGTTTGCATATTGAACTGCAACAACGGTTACGTCATTTTGTGTCGCGTGGTTCCAAATGCAAAGACGAGTGAACCACTGAAACTGATAGACTGATTATGAATATGAGGTCCAGTGAGGAGTCCAGTTAGCCAGGCAGTACGGCTAGCGCGCGATAGCTAGCCAGTGAATCTACGCTACGAAAAAACGTAGATCTACGTCTGTGCTACAGCGCCTGTACAGTACAGCAATGCATTACACTATACAGCCTTTTTTACAGGTGCAGCTAGCCGATGACGATCGCATCCGACGCAGGTCGCTGAGGTCGGGCGCGCATCTACAAAACGACCATCACTCATATTCTGATTATTCATAAGGCGCAGCGCTCTTTGAATCCACCAGGCAAAATAACAGTCTAGTCGGATTCGGTGTGGAGCGAACAGCGCTTCGTGATTCGTTTTAGCCTTTCTCTAAGTCTAACCTAGTCCTAGTAGATCTACGCCCTGATACTTGATAGAATTTTAGTTTTCATGTAGCTGTGAGTAGGTGCATGCGACCTTATTTGTGAATAATCTACTCCTAGAAACATTCCACTCGCTCACGATGCAAGGGAAACTAATGAAAGAATTCCAGCGCCTGCTGCGCAACGTCAAGAGCTTCAGTGACGACCAGGTTGAGGTTCTGCTGGACGGTTTGGACTTCGACCAGCCGCTAGAAACGTTCAACATAAGGATTCGGCCGAACGGCGGTCCGTACCGCGGTGGAACGTTCGGGTTCGCAATCTCGCCACAAGACTACGGGCCTCCCGAGGTGATCTGTGAAACCCAAGTGAGTCGAACTACTTGAATGAACAAGATCTAATCCTAGTTTTTGTAAGCGGGGCATCTGTGATAGGAACGTACGGTATGCTGCCTTAGCCCCAGAGGTTTTTTTCTTCAATAGTCCCTACTTGTAAAATCTTACGATTGTGTGTGGGAAGCAAAGGACAGCGATAGCACACAGATACTAGAAATATGCATTGTTCCTGGTCAGTTTCATCGTTAGTCATTGTACTACTGGACTGGCGCAAGGCGAGGTCATTTCCCGATTATGAGCCCATTACTAAGATAATCCGAGAAAAGGTGGCAGCGGAGTTTGTTCGGCTTCTCAGGAATCGCCGCTTCATTTTTCTCAGCAACGCGCTGTATGTCTTTCACACATACTGTTTTGTAGTCACTCGTGATGCGTATCCGTTTTCACTACAGGACGGACCTCGCTATAACGTAATCTCTGGGGGATGGGGAAATTAGTTTATAGTGAGTTGGGCACACCAGTATGCAATATGTATGGCAAAATGACACTCTTCACTTACTGATTACAACAGAAATAAAATTAATATTATTTTACTCTAATGTTTTACATACAGAAATGACGATGTAAACTAGCAAAGATGTGTACAGGCTAGTCAGCAAAGGGGTGACCCATCGTCATGTACATGTAGTAAAATGTACGTGTACATGTGACATGATTAGGTGCATTTGACTTGCACGTAGGTCTACAATGATTATGTAGACGTGTAGGAGTGTAGGAGGTCAAAGCTATGACCGGGCAGGGAGTACCCTGTATTTTACCACTCCCTGCTTCCGAGGTGGACAGCTCAGCTTCGGACTTGATCGTCGCGAGAAGCGCATGCGTGCAGTGTACATAAGTCATTTTTAGACGACTTTTTAGGTTATGCTGAGGTCTCCGTGCGCCCTGGACCCAGCAAACAGTGCGTTATGGCGAACATTACGCCATAGCGGATTAGGTTATAGCGAGGAAAGTTTGTACAGAAGTGATGCGGTTTCGGCAGGGACATTAACATTTCGTACGTTATAGTGAGGTTTATGTTATAGTGGGGGTCGTTATAGCGAGGTCTGACCTGTATCGTGTTTCATCTGCCTTATCGTCAAATTATCACGCAATTGTAGTCCAGTTCTCATGCCAGCACCCGCACTACTCGTTGGTATTGATTATTTATTTGAATTCGGTATCTCAACAGTACAATGTACAACTTGGGAAGATCCGAATGACATAGATACATAAACATAAAAGTGGAGTAGGCGCTACTCGTTGATGTGAGACACTAGTACACCATTGATGTTGCCATCCGTTCAAAACAAAATCATGGTTTATAGCGTGAGACTCTGTAAGCCTGAATTATTTTCCGCATCCATATGAGTACCACCAGTGACCTGCACTAATGTATTCATTGTAGCCGTGTTAGCTACTGCTATGTGTAGTATGTAGTATGTGCATAGCCAGGACGTCCGGGAAAGCAAGCTCTGAATTTGCCGCTTTCTGCGCTGTGCATGTTGCCCTTCCCACCTGGTCTGGTGTTACACCTGGTCTGGTGTTACACCTGGTCTGGTATTACACCTGGTCTGGTATTACACCTGGTCTGGTATTACACCTGGTCTGGTATTACACCTGGTCTGTTGTTCACGTTTGCGATACTGTAGATCAGAGAGGTTAAGTTATTTCTGACGTGACGCGAAAGTTCAACTCGCATTACTTGGCTCGTGCGTCAAAAAACAACGCGAGCGACCTACAGCTCATGTCGAAATTTGGAGTTTCACGCCAAATTTGATGTGAAATTGCGCGTCACGTAGGAAGTAATGTGCATCTTAACCTCTCTATTACTAGAAGTCAACCCCTGGCTTTTTTCACGTTATTTTTTGCAGATCTACCATCCCAACATCGACCCGGAAGATAACAACCTGTGCTTCAATCTGCTGGAGGATCTCTGGGAGGATACGTTGACGCTGGAGGATATAGTGCAAGGTCTTCTCTTTCTCTTCTATCACCCGGCAATTGATGATCCGCTCAGTCACCTTTTCGATGGTGAGTTAGTGGGCAGCTTGAGGCCTTTGCAATGCTCACACACACACTCTTGTGCACACACACACACACACACACACACACACACACACACACCTGTAGTTGCTCAATGCCAAAACTGGTCACGTGGGTCTCCCCGTGAGAGGGGAGAGAGATTCAAAAGGGAATCTTGGAAAGATAACTCAATTGGCTATTGAACCGCCCAATGGCCGACACCCCCTGGAATCCCCAAACTCTGGGTGGACTTGGAAAATGATCCCACTTATGGGCACACCCCAGTAGGTGTGTGACACACGTGCACGCAAGCACACACACACGCACACACACACACACACACACACAGATTGAGAGTAAAATAGAAGCTAATCGGATAAAGCAGTCGGGATCCAGGAGGGAAAAGATAAGAGACAGAGAGGGAGAGACAGACAGACAGGGAGAGAGAGAGAGAGAGAGAGAGAGAGAGAGAGAGAGAGAGAGAGAGAGAGAGAGAGAGAGAGAGAGAGAGAGAGAGAGAGAGAGAAAGAGAGAGAGAGAGAGAGAGAGAGTCGACAACAGATAAACGAGTTAAAATAATGATGAGATCATTACTTTTCTTTGTGCTTTTCCTTTGCAGGTAGCGAGAGCTGGGAAGAGTTTGAGGAAAATGTCCGCGCCAGCCTGCGCGGAGAATCGATCAAAGGCTATGATTTTGAAAGAAATCTCATTGGAGAAGAAAGCACGGAGAGAATGACAAGTACCAAGGAAGCTGTCAAGGTGAGCTTCTATGTTCTTGCCGCTGGATCATCAGATGGTTAAAAGATCTGAGAATGTGCTAGGTAGAGAAGAGATTTGGGGGGGGGGGGGGGTGAGGAGTGAAGATTTTTTGGGGATCTTAGAGAATGTCAACAACTTATGAATGCAAATCCAAGACAAGCTATGCTACAGCAGAGAGCGTGTTTGCGGCCGATGTACGATGCGGCAAGTACATACGGCTAGCTGACCACACTCATTGTATATTTTGTACCATTCTGCAAAAGCTTGATTGCTTGGTTCGGCTGTCCACTGTGGCATCTATTGTTCTCCTGACTGATCGTTATTCTCTCTCTCTCTCTATCTTTCTCTCTCTCTCTCTCTCTCTCTCTCTCTCTCTCTCTCTCTCTCTGTCTTTCGGGGTATTTCTTGTTGCTATTCAGATGCTCACCCTGGAACGGCGCCATTCGTTTGCCGGGGAGCTGGTCAATATCGATTTTGATCTCTATATGCTGAGTCAGCTGACTCCGCCTAGCTGCACCAAAGCGCCGCAGCCCTCTCTTGTGGAGGATGAACCACCGTCGTCATCTCCACTCCGTCATGTGCTGTCTTGCGGTGACATAGCCCGCAGCCAACTACCGGTGACGAGGGCCAGTCGCGATGCAACCCGGCGTCACCGTCTGGACATGGACGGTAATTGTATGGACACGGACTACAGCGACACCGACTGTGAAACTGACTACGACCACGTGACGGATCACGACCGCGACGACGGTAGAGACGGTGATACTAACAGCGTTGCCACCGAGAGCTCGACCGTCCACCAGCCCGTCTGCACTTGCCACCTCCTGGCCGGTGCGGCGGACAGCAATGGTACCAGCGTGGACGCCTGCCCGGGAATGGCCAGTGCCAGCAGCCCTGCTCCAGTCGCCGTCGGTAGGAATAACATCAAACGCATCGGCCGGCAATTGACGAGCTTTGTAATGGGTTTGGTACGCGTGCGATGATCATCGTTAACACATCCGCTTTTTTACCCTTAGAACAACCAGTTGCTAGTTTTGCCTATGTTTCTTGTCAGAGTTTTGAGCATAGACATGTTGAGAGTTTATAAGACTGTTGAGAGGGAAACCGATGCGTGCCAAAACATCTACAATACGTCCACTAAGGACAAAACAGTTCTGTCCGCTGATTGAGTAACAGCTGTATTATATACGCCTTGAAGGCCAAATATCTATTCCTTTTTTTGTGTGTGTGCGCGCGCGTGTGTTGAAGCAGTGAATTACGTTGTTTGATACTTTTCTCGTAGGCTCATCCCCACCTTGAACCCCCTCCCCCCTCACACACTCATACTTGAAGTGATTATCACATCATTAAATAATTAATGTTGATGGCTATCTGAAACATCCGAGTTTCAGATGGCTATGTTTTAACCTACTTACCCGTGTATTTTCCGCTTGACTGGCTTTTGCTGGTTTGATGACTTTGTTACAATTTTGGAAAATCGTCTTTTCACCTCAATATCATCCTGGTGACATATGCCGCACTTGTGGCGGTGCTTCAAGCACGAAAAGGAAATGATTCAAGATCATGTGTGAAGGTGTGTGTACGTGGTGTGTGTGTGTGTGTGTGTGTCTGTGTGTGTGTATGTGTGTGTCCCATATGGTGCAGTGGTATGTGCAGTCGATTTCCAATTCAGAGGCTGCGGATTCAATTCCGGACAATTATGGTCACAAACGTCTTTCTTCTCTTTCTCATTCTCCTAGCTCTTCTTTCATTTTCCTGGGAGGCTGTGTGGTCACCGACAGCCGGTGTGTGGCGTGGCGTGTGTGTGTGTGTGTGTCAACAAAAAAAGAATGAAAAAATGGGGATTCACTGGCCGGGAAAAGCCACTTCAATCAGCTGTGTGGTGGGTACCAAGCTAGTGGCAAGCTGTTGAATGGTGTAATCCCAGCACAATTTACAATGTCTAACATAGCTGTTCGCTATCATCGCTTCCGTGATGGGCATGGCTGAGTCTGAGTGTGCGTGTGTGTGTGCGTGTTTTTAATACAGTATTTATATGTGGCCCGTGATGACCGCGTCGGGAGAGTTGACAGGATTGGCTTCGAGCTCCGCTCAGCATACAGCAGCGATCTATACAGTAAACCCCGCGGTGGCGACCAACACCATTGCCTAACAGATTCCCAGTTTGATGACGACTCTTGTCGATTCGCTACGACTCGGTCTGGAGCGGGGGCAGCATTGTGCTGTCTTCACGGGGTGGCGTCGGGATTCGGCTTCACCGTCAGTGCAACGAAGACTCAGTTCGTAGTTGTTGGCCCCAACATCACGCCTACTGACTGTGCTCCCCTCCAACTTGGTCAAGCGGAGGTGGAATGCGTACCGCAATTCAAGTTCCTCGGTTCTGTAGTGGACAACGGTTGCCCAAGCCTCCGGGCCCTGCGGTGCTCTTCGGAAATCTGTATTCTCCAATCCACATCTGCTGACGCACACCAAGCGGTGCGTAATCAATGCTTGCGTTCTGTCCCTGCTGTTGTATGGCTCTGAGTGCTGGACGCCCCTTCAACATGACCTGCAGAAGCTCTCAACCTTCAGCATGAGGTGCATCCGATCCATCCTCGGGGTCTCTCGAAGCCGGATGTGGGAAGAACATATCACCAACGAAGAGCTGGTGGTGCACTGGGGAGACTCTGAGATGATTAAAGACAAGATTGCACATCGGCGGTTGGAGTGGATGGGGCATGTTGCGCGGGTGCCGGACAACCGCATCCCGAAACACGTGCTGTTTGGCTCCTTCTTGCAGAGTCGCCCGGCACATGGCCCACGCCGCAGATGGAAGGACTGTGCTGTCCGGGATCTACGTGCCCGTGGTGTGGAGGCATCATGGTATGATGTTGCATGTGAGTCTCGCGCGGAGTGGCGCAGCACCTACCAAGAGCCTGACAATGCGCCTGAGCCTCCGCCCCGAGTGGTATTTAGGGCATGTGGACGGGATTTTGCGCGGAAAGGAGACATGACTCGGCATAAGTGTCTGGAGGAGCGTGCGCGGCCTGTGTCTGAGCAGCGGGGCGCCAGTCAGTGCAGTGGCTTTTTCCGGTGTGGGCGGTGGCTGAGAAACCGCGGTGGCTTGGTCATGTGTGTGCCTCGACGGTGGATGCCACAGTGCCACCTGGAGCTACCGGAACGTCGGCACCGGCGGGGGGAGGTTGTGCCGCGCATTGTGACAGGTGTGTTCGCCGCGTTCGCGGTGTCCGGGGACGGGGCAGGCATCCCTGTTCAAGGGTGGCCCATAGACCAACAGCAGAGGAGCGCTCAACCTTCCAGCACGTGTGCATATGCGGCAAGCGGATGCGACCACCCGTGCACCTGGAGCGTCATCGGGCGTCATGCTCCCCCCCCCCTCTCTCTCTCTCTCTCTCTCTCTCTCTCTCTCTCTCTCTCTTCTCAAGTTACTCAGTGATGGGATCTCGTGACCCTTTTGCGGCAGTGACTCTACAGGACAGGACAGGTGCGTGTGCGCGCGCGCGTGTGTGTGTGTGTTGGCGAGACATGATTTTCGCTGACCTGCACTCACTGGATATTCCTGAGTCCGAGTGGTACCAGCTCGCACAGGATCGCCCGGAACGGCGCAGGTGGGTCCATCAACATCGTCTTCCTCTCCCAGCACTACCCAGCACCAAAGGACTTCCATTGCGCATGCGACAGAACGTTTAGGAGAAGTGACGATTTGAAGCGTTACCTCAAGAACTGCCCAACTCAGAAGCCTATCATCCGCAATGGAGATGGGGCGTCAAAGTTCAAAGGTGTGTGTATGTGTGTGCATGTGTGTGTGTGTGTGTGTGTGTGTGTGTGTGTGTGTGTGTGTGTGTGTCCGTATGGTGCAGTGGTATGTGCAGCGATTTCCAATCGATAGGTTGCGGGTTCGATTCCCGACGATTATGGTCGCACACGTCTTTCTTCTCTTTCTCAGACTCCTCCTGACTTTTCTTTCATTCTCCTGGGTGGTTACCAACAGCCAGTGCATGCCGGAGTATGTGGTGTGATGTGTGTGGGTGAAAAAAAGAAGAAAAAGACCGAAAAGTAGGGATTCACTGGCCAGAAAAAGCCACTTCATAGCTGTGTGGTGTAGACCAGGCTGAATAGTGGCGGTCAATTCTTCAGCCTTGCAAGCGGTTGAATGGCGCAATCCCAGCACAAGCTGCTATGGCTTTGTAGCATCGCTATCACCTCCTCCGGCGATGGCCGTCATATGGTCCGAATGGTGGGTGTGTCAAAGCAACGGCCGATGTCATGATGATGTCACATCCTGGATCGCACAAGCTGCCAAAGCGTTTGCCGCTCTGAAGAAATCGATATTCCACGATGTAACACTGACAATATCCATAAAACGGTCAGTGTACAATGCTTGTGTGCAGTCGCCTCCGCTCTATGGGTCCTGATGGTGGGTACCGCTACAGGCTGATGTTCATGCTTTTTCTGTCTTTCATCTGCGGTGTGTCCGCACCATTCTGGGCATCAGTCGTCAAGATGTATAGAATGACAGGATAACTAATGTTGAAGTTCTGGAGCGCTGGGGAGGTACCTTGGACATGGAGTGTCGTCTCAGCAGACGTCGCCTTGAGTGGCTTGGTCATGATTGTGTCAGGGATGGAGGATGAGCGCATCCCGAAGGCTCTACTGTTCGGTTCGCTTCCAAACAAGAGACCTGCCCATGGTCTGCGGAAAAGGTGGCGAGACTGTGTTCGGAGTGACGTCAAGCCACTTGACGAATGATATGAAGTGGCCGCCTCTTCTAGCTCCAAATGGCGCAAGGCTTACCGTTGTCTGCCAGACAAGCAGAACAGACCTCGACCATCACCAGTTGTGTGCCAAACTTGTCACCGCTCATTCAGTCGTGTAAGTGACAGGAAGCGACACAAGTGTACAGCTACGCGTGCCCTACCCGTACTGCCGTAGGCTAACAGCCAGGAAGTAACTTTAGTTGTCACTGTGACCAGTGCGACCGATGGTTCCCTAGCAAGGGTGGATTTGCCCGACACAAGTGCTCGCCAGCAACATCACCAGCAGAGGCATCTTCTGACACACTTTAGTCACCAGTTAGGAACAATAATTATGTCCTGCGAACGCTTCCGCTTCCACGGGGCCTGCTGCAACCGCTGTGTGCTATCGTGCCAAGGCGTGAAGCGTCACAAGTGCAGCCGTGGCTCGGCCAGAGCAACCAACACAGACCGTAGCTCCTTCTGCATCGTTTGCAATTGCGGGCGGCGTTTCGGTAGACCACAGGACCTATCCCGATATCGCTCCTACTGTTCCGAACCTGCTCAACCCTGCATGGGGTCCGCATAGCCAGAATAGTGCAGGGCGTTCAAGGTCCAAGGTCCAAGGTGTGTGTGCGTCTGTGTGTGTGTGTGTGTGTGTGTGTGTGTGTGTGTGTGTGTGTGTGTGTGTGTGTGCGAGTCCGAGTGGTTGGAGGGTGACTACTACGTCAAGGCTTGGCTCCAGACCAAAGCTTGTGCTTCTCCCATTGTACCTTCAATCCCATATTTATTGTGGATGCTGGTACGTGTTGTTGGTTGACAGTATGTAGCAAGCTGAAGGACCATCGTGTTCGGAGACGGTAACCTTAAAGGCTTTCTACAACCATCCACGGTTGGTAGAGCCCCGGTCGGTTGCGACCATCTGAACCGGCTGGGTGTTAAACCTGGTCCTGACCCTCTCTATTCTAGGGGGAGTTGTCTTAGACTTCACGCAACGTCTGTCTTGTGTTATTTGTTTGCACCTGGGTGTCTTCTTGATACTCATGAACTTAGTAGCGAGTTTTGTTCTGAATTTTTCTACTTTCTTCTTTTCAAACTATTTTTTTCTTTTTCTAACTTCTTCTAACATGTATCCCATGCTAGTACATGTATCAGGGAACGCTTTTCCGCATGTGGGCATTGCCATGGTAACGATATGGTACATGCAGGAGTCAACACACCATTATGCTGACCACACAGAACGTTCTACAAGTGCATCACCACTCGACGCAGACTAGCAGAAGAGACAGCAATCCTCCATGCAGGTAGTAGACTCCCTGGCAGCATGGGGAAGCAGGTGGAGGATCCAGTTCGAACCCACAAAGTCGCAGGCATTGACCATCAGCCATCACTGCTCGCCAAACCTTCCGAATGCAATACGCTTCCAAGGAGCAGTCGTGCCAGAAGTAGAGGAGCTCTAGCTTCTTGGCGTCACTTTCGAAAGGCAGGTGGCATTCTGCAGCCATATCCCACAGCTTGCAGTGCGAGGAGCCCAGCGGCTTGGCTTCCTCCGTAAGGCATCGGCTGTGCTAGACCCAAAGCACCGGGTAATCGTGTACCATGGCTTTGTCCGCCCTGTGTTAGAGTATGGCATGCTGGTGTGAAGTAGCGCGGCCCCCACCACCTTGGCCCGCCTCACTGCCATCCAGCGCCGTGCCCTACACATACTGTAATTGGAGATGGATCATACCTCCCTAGCATTGACATTCGACGCACCGTAGCAGGGCTCTGTTTCCTGTACAAGCCACACTTTGTTGAGGGTCCGGGAGATGCTGAAAGTCATTCTGCCACCATCAGCAGCCGCACCGCAATGTCGCATACGTACTCGTGAAACCACCAGATCTGCAGCACATCATCCGCCACAACTCGCCAGTATCCGGAATCGTTCCTCCTCAGTAACGAAACAACACATCCCGCTCATTAGGCATGGGCGGGTAATGCTAGTTATTTGCTGCGATAATGCTGAAGGCAATGCCCATAATATGAGGATATGCCACTTATAATGCTCACACTACTCCATAATGCCAGTTTGAAAGTTGGAAAAGTCGATTTAAGAAGGCCGTCTTGGATCAAGGCCAAAGTAGAAGAAAAAAACTGAATAAAACAGCAGTGAGCATGTCTGAGCATGTCTGAAACAATCCGCTGAGAAGGTTGATTTGCAACGTCAAGTCTCCGGACGAAGCCGGGCGGGTTCAGATGCACGATTTTCGGAACTGGACCTAGCCAGCTTCATGCATGACACCGTTGGCGACCGGCAATTGATGCTAGCATTACCGGCCCGCACTCCAACTCCTTTCTACCCCTCTCTAATCCCCTTCGCTCAATCTTAAACGTTGTCTCTCCCTGTCATGGTACCTTGTGCAATGATCACTTCTCTCCATCTTCCTATTTCCACGGTGCACTACGTTAACTATTGTTATGTCCTATCTCAATCTAAAATTCTCCCATTATCGTTTGCAAATGTGTTTCCCTATTATGGATGCACATGTGCTCAGTCTTTTTTTCTCCTTCGTATCGGCCCACATGAGTAAGGATGAGTCCGAGACCTTTGGTCGGAGGAGTTAATTCTACCCCGCCCCGCTTCCATCCAATATGCCACCGCCCCCGCTGTGCAGCATCTGATGGTTCTGTGGAAAAAATGTCATGCATGTGAATGTATGCCTGCATGGTTTTGAAAGAAAAATAAGTTTTAATAACACCGTGGTGGGTGCACTCGCAGGGGTCGCAGGCACAGGCGACTCTTGATTGAACGTACATGTACATGTCTGCAGTATCTCCTACATGTACAATGTACATGTAGGAGATACTGCAGACATCTCGATAGAATGTACATGTAGATACGATGAAACTAAAACAGATATTTTCTCCAAATGCAATGATGATCTTTGTGAGTTTGAGACTTGCATTTGCGTGCATACATGTACATGTACATGAGCAAGTCCTGGACTAATACTCAGAGTAATAATCACCAATATGACTACTGAAGTAGCATTATAATCAGAATTATGAGGTACAGTTTAGTTATGGGAGCATTGGGGTTAGAATTATACGAACATTTTCGGTGCATTATCCGCTGGACCCTACCGGCCATCCTCTAGCCTTTCATACAGTTTGTATTATGACATGGAGGGTATACACGTACGCATGACGTCATCAGCAGTAAACACACGCGTTGGTGGTGAAAACGTCGGTCCGACCACAACCTGACCAACTGGACAGGTTCTGCGGCTTCTGCCGGGCCTGCTTGGATTAAAAAAAAAGGAGAAGAACACAGATTTGTTTTTATTCCGCAACGAACATACATGTATGTCCGTACACTAGAACACGGTGCTGCTGCATTCGAGTTTCATTGATTCGAGTTTCATTTGAGTTTCATTTGAGTTTCATTTGAGTTTCATTCGAGTTTCATTTGAATTTCATTCGAGTTTCATTTGAGTTTCATTCGAGTTTCATTCGAGTTTCATTTAAGTTTCCTTTGAGTTTCCTTTGAGTTTCATTCGAGTTTCATTTGAATTTTATTTGAGTTTCATTTGAGTTTCATTTGAGTTTCATTCGAGTTTCATTCGAGTTTCATTTGAGTTTCATTTGAGTTTCATTTGAGTTTCATTCGAGTTTCATTTGAGTTTCATTTGAGTTTCATTGATTCGAGTTTCATTGATTCGAGTTTCATTCGAGTTGCACTGAGCTACAAACTACCGTACACTGTAGAACTGTTACTTGCAGTACAGTTGCAGCTGCTGCGCTAAACTACAATGTACATGTACATGTACATGCACAGCACAACTCAGCACTCCGGAATGCCGTCTCATTCAGTCATTGCAGAGCGTCGCAACTACAGTACTACTACTAGCTAGCCTGACCTGACTGACACAGTGACTGACACTCCACTATCGCCATCAGAACTAGTCAAAGAACTTTATTGAAAATCCACGATAACGTGGTCGGACAGATGATTGAAGAAAAATCCAAAGTCAAACCCATTAGCAGTCACTACTATCAAAGCAGATCGTACTTGACTGGCCTCACTATCAGTACTGGCCCGGCGGCGGCGCCCTCAAGGCCTTAGTGACTTAGTCGACTAGCCACCATCGTCAGTGGTCACAGGCCAGAAGGACGGGTGGAAGCAGTGTTTCGGTCCTGTCATACCATCGCCGGACCTCATTATTAGAAGTAAACACAGTCAGTACATCATACATATACATGTACATGTAACAGTAAACACACAAAGTCATAAAAATATTATTCACGTCCAGAAGGTTGGTCCGGCCATGACCTCACCTGACTCTTCACGCGCAGACCTGTCTTACTAATACTGTACTACACTACAGAGTACCCTGGTCCCTGGCTCTACATCAGTACAGTGTACATCATGTACAAAAAACAGTGACCAGTTTGACCAGTCCGAGCTGCTAGGACGGGTCGAAAACAAGTCTTGCATTCCGGACGGCACGGGCACGCGCACATAATACGAATGGCAAAGGGAGATCAGATGATTCAGATCTCGAGGGCTTGTGAGTCATCGCCAAAAAGGAAGCTGTCATTCTGTCAACAAGATCAAATCCTGCACACCTGGCGTAATGGCGACACATGGGTTTGCATTTGAACTGCAGCAATGGTTACGTCATTTTTTGTGTCGGCGATTCCAAACTGTATCAGTGTATGCTACTGAAAGCTAGAAAGACTGAGCTCATAGTGTCATACAGACAGTCACTTACTACACACGCATACATGTAGTAGATCTACTAGTAGTACATGTACTGCCAGTGGCATGTGATGACGATCGGGCGCGCACCTACAAAACGACCATCATAAGACGCAGCGCTCTTTTGAATCAAGCAGCCAGTACCATCTAGTCGGATTCGGTGCGGAGCTCCACGATTCGTTTCCTTTCTCTAACCTCCTACGCCCTGATAGATATTTTGTTTCCATGTAGCTCTGAGTAGGTGTATACCACCTAATTTGTGAATAAACAACTCCTAGAAACATTCCACTGGCTCACGATGCAAGGGAAACTAATGAAACAATTCCAGCGCCTTCTGCGCAACGTCAAGAGCTTCAGTGACGACCAGGTTGAGGTTCTGCTGGACGGTTTGGACTTCGACCAGCCGCTACAAACGTTCAACATCAGGATTCGGCCGAACGGCGGTCCGTACCGCGGTGGAACGTTTGAGTTCTCAATTTCGCCACAAGACATCGGGCCTCCCGAGGTGATCTGTGAAACCCAAGTAAGTCGAACTACTTGAATGAACAAAATCGAATCCTAGTATTTGTCAGCGGCGCATCTGTGATAGGAACGTACAGTATGCTGCCTAAGCCCCAGAGGTTTTTTCTTCTATTGTTCCTACTTGTAAAATCTTACGATTGTGTGCGTGGGAAGCAAAGGACAGCGATAGCACACAGCTACTAGAAATATTATGCAATGTTCCTGGTCAGTTTCATCGTTAGTCATTGTACTACTCTGGACCGGCGCAAGGCGAGGTCATTTCCGGATTATGAGCCAACTACTAAGATAATCGGAGAAAAGGTGGTAGCGGAGTTTGTTCGGCTTCTCAGGAATCGCCGCTTCATTTTTCACAGCAACGCGCTATATGTCTTGCACACATACTGTTTTGTAGTCACTCGTGATGCGCATCCGTTTTCACTACCGTGTTTCATCTGCCTTAGCGTCAAATAATAATTATCACACAATTATTGTAGTCCAGCACCCGGACCACTCGTTGATGTGAAACACTACAGTCCATTCACAAAAAGATGGGCTCTGGTGAGCTCCTGTATCAGGCGATTTTTCAAGATTTTATCATACACAGTGCAGTGCTGTGAAATTTGAAATTTGAAAAAGGATCCAAAAAGGGTACCTGAACTGGGGTTCGAACCGTATAGTGCACTTTTGCAGGCAGGGTCAAACGGCCTGGATTTTGATGGGTTTTCCCAATTCAGTGCTCTTGGGGCAAAACCTGGCCGAAATCCTATTCTTGCTATGGCTTGGTTTTTGGAGAAATAGACTTCAGAAACATAAAAGAAAAAAAGGATTCCATAGGGGATTGCAGAAAAAATTCTAAAAAAACTCAACGTTTGACGCACTTATGGCCAAAAGCTAGAAGTCCATCTTTTTCTGTATGGACTGTAGTACACCATTGATGTTGCCATGAGTTCAAAACAAATCATGGTTTATAGCGTGAGACTCTGGAAAGCTGAATTTTCCGCATCCATATGAGTACCACCAGTGACCTGCACCAATATTAGGGATTCGAGCAAAATTCATAATTCAAGCTAGCTTGTTCTTGGACAATGTCACCCAGGTAATAAGAAATCCAATAGTACCAATTTTATCAAAATCGGTCCAGGCATTCAGAAGTTATAGCCATTTTTCTAACGCGAAATGGGTGTATTTTCTCGGGCGATCAAATGGGAAATCGGCTCAAAATATGTTCAAACTACTGCACAGCAACCACCTACAACATTTTCACACGAATCAGATGAAATTTGGTTCACAGCCTCTTATCCTTGCCTTGAGCGGATGGCATACGCACGCTTCGATTTGGCGAACCTACCCTTCTTCTTCACACGACTTTTGCTGACAAGGACGTCAAGTCACCAGCACGGCTTTGGCCATTGCCGACAAGGAGGGCAAGTCACCAACACACCAATGTTGATGTTGCCGATGCCGTCTTCTGCAGAGCTTGCGATTCAAGTTAGTTACGAACGAAATCCAGAAGACGCGCGCTGTCGATGGGAGCTGGGATCAGACCGATCATAGTGAGAGATACTGCATCAGTTCCGACACCAACCAGTTCCATCGGTAATGACGGCAGCTCACTGTTCTCTGCCAGCGCACGTGTCGTAAATCCAAGCCTATTCTCCTTGCTCCTCGCAAACAGGAGATAGTACAGAGTCGTGCACTATATCGTGCTCACTAGGCACAGCGAAATCCTGGGCTACGTGCGGCTTGATTCTCGTGATGAGCTGACTGCGCTTGGGGTAACACCTAGTTCCTCGCGTAGATCTACTCTTCTTCTTCGCACTTGAAAATATCGCCATGTCGGAGGTGCTTTTAGTCCTACTCGGCGCACTCAAATTTTGTTGTGCTGCTCTACCTTGCTTGAGAAAAACACCGGCATGGGTGATTCCGAAAGGTTTTTGGGTGCTGAGCCTGAAAATCGGTTTAAGAATCCCCTAAGATGCCATTTTAAACTTGGAAATCGCCTTCAACTTCTTCTTTGACTGATCGCAATGGCCTATTTTCTCTGCATGGCGACCAAAAACCCAACATTGGACAGCTGAAAACCTCAGGAAGCCACTGGTGTCTTAAAAAATCCTCCAACATTTACGATATCCCAGCGCACTGGCCTAGAATGAGCCGTCATCGCGTGACCACACTTTTCTGTGTAGCACGCGGAGAAAGTCCTCGAACCCAGTTGGCCAGATCCTGGAATCCCTACCAATATATTCATTGTAGCCGCGTTAGCTACTGCTATGTGTAGTATGTAGATACGGAGGAACTCCGGCAAAGCAAGCTGTGAATTTTTGCAGCATCCTGTGCGCACGTACATCTTGCCCTTCCCACCTGGTCTGGTGTTCACGTTTGCTGATGTGTAGAATCCTAGAAGACAACCCCTGGTTCTTTTCGCTGATTCCCTCTGCAGATCTACCATCCCAACATCGACCCGGACGATAACAGCTTGTGCTTCAATCTGCTAGCGGATCTCTGGGAGGATACGTTGACGCTGGAGGATATAGTGCAGGGGCTACTCTTTCTCTTCTATCACCCGGCAATTGATGATCCGCTCAGCCACCTTTTCAATGGTTAGTTAGACTGGTAATATTATGAAAGCCATTATTCTAACGAGGCTCATACAAATTATAATGATTTCCTGGAATTGACCAGTTTACGTGTACCACAGATAACGATTCTCAACGATTAATAGCAACAATATCAATCTATTTCTCTCTAACGTTTTCTATTTCAAAGGCAGATTTCGCCTCGTTAACTTGTTAGAATTAGTACTTCGTTATATATGAGGCTTTTACAGTAGGGCAGCTTTAGGCATTTGGAATTCTCGGTCATACACGGGCGAATGCACGCACACACACACACACACACACACACACACACACACACACACACACACACACACACACACACACCTACACACACACACACACACACACACACACACACACACACACACACACACACACACACACACACACACACACACACACACACACACACACACACACACACTTGTAGTTGCTCAATGCCAAAACTGGTCATGCGGGTCTTGCCGTGAGAGGGGAGAGAGATTCAAAAGGGAATCTTGGAAAGATGACTTCTATTCTTGTTCTATTGGTTATTGAACCGCCCAACACACACAAACTTTGGGTGGACTTGGAAAATGATCCCACTTTTGGGCTCACCACAGTAAGTACATGTAGGTGTGTGACACCCACCCACACGTACACCCACCCACCCACACGTACACCCGCCCACCCACACGTACACCCCCCCCCCCCCCCCACACACACACACACATACACACACACAATTGAGCGTATGTTAAAAATAGAAAATAATCAGATAAAGCAGTCAGGATCCACGAGGGGAAAGACAAGAGATGGACAGGGAGAGAGAGAGAGAGAGAGAGAGAGAAAGTAGGCGAGAGATAAACGAGTTAGAAAACATGATGAGACCATTACTTGTCTATGTGCTTGTCCCATGCAGGCAGTGAGAGCTGGGAGGAGTTTGAGGACAATGTCCGCGCCAGCCTGCGCGGGGAATCGATCAATGACTACGATTTTGAAAGAAATCTCATCGAAGAAGAAAGCACGGAGAAATTGTCAAGTACCCAGGACGCTGTCAAGGTGAGTCTCTATGTTTTTGCTGCTGCATCATCAGATGGTTAAAAGATCTGAGAATGTGCTGAGTAGAGAAGAGATTTTACGGGAGGGGGCAAGCAGTGAAGATATTTTGGGGGTTGTTAGAGAATGTGTGTACTGTATACTTCCTCCGCGTCATCGAAATTGTCGCAGTTTGACTAGTGAAATCTCACTTGTTACTGACAACTCCATAAACTACGCCATTCAGAACTTATTACACAGTATGATAGTCTGAAGACTAGAGTAACGTTCCAGGACAATTGGACTGAGAGTTTTCATACAGAGATGAAGTCCTCGCCGTCGCTGATGTCTATGGACGCAAAAATATCGTTCTGAAATATTTCAAGGAAGGTTGAAAGTTGGTCGCGCCTCATCTCAAACGCTTTGACTTTCTCCACAGGACAAGAGCTGCTATGCTTGTCGTCTGCTAGCTCTGGATGATTTCTACTTCACCACCAACGAAGCCTAGTAAGAATACACGATCGTTGCGAGGTCGGTTGATTACCGTCGGCGGAATCACCTTTGGAATCACCTCGATCTTGAAATGAACTTTTTTTTAGCCGTGGCATGCCCACAGCTCATGCAGGTAAGTGTAGTATCACGTCCAGCGCGCCCTCTTTTTCAGCACTGGTATACCATGGTACGGCACCTGCGCGTGCATCACTAGCACTACGTGTAGAGTCTACACGGCTCTTGCAGGTACAATCATGTATTGTAGTGCTGAGTGTCTCAGCCAGAGCGACAAATTTTATCGCTGTTGCAGGCATTTAGTTTGCCGACCCCTCGATGTTTCTCCAAGCGCTGCCACTTGTTCCAAGAAGTCATTCTCATCTTTGCTAAGGTAAAACAGTGATCGGGCTTGAGTGAATGGCCATAAGCACGAGAAATGTGCAGGCTGCAACGCCTGACTGATCTCAGCGAGTCGAAATTACCAGCGCAGCGACATCAGCGAAGAAATTGCGTCTAGTTCAAAAATTCCAGCTTCCAATAACAGAAAATAGAACTTTGCCGTCACCCTATGCTGATGACTATCGCCTATGTCCGATTCCTTGCCTCGTACGAGTGCTGGTGAGTAAATACCGCATTTTACATCAAAAGTCAAACTGCGACAATTTCGATGACGCGGAGGAAGTACTTCCTAATGTTTGCGACGTAATAATGGTTACTACTTCTGCGAGAAGAGCATAATGCAAATATTACCCCAAAGTGAAATCAAACTTCAACAGTGGTGTATATGTGTGGCCACGGTGCTCCACGAACATTTGCCATTGTAAACTCGCTGGTTCTGAGAGATCGCCAAAAAATAGTTACGCAAACATTGGGCGGTTTACAGTATTGCCATTCAATGCTTTTTAGGTTCAAAACTTTAGTTGTTCTGGAGGGGGGGGGGGGGGGGTATTGTGCATTTTGAGGCGGCAACTTATGAATGCAAATCCGAGACAAACTTTGCTTCCTTGGCCGCGGACGTTTCTATAGGCGTGCGAGGCTACAGCAGAGAGCGTATGTGCGGCCGATGTACGATACGGCTAACTGACCACAGAGGCTGTACCTGTTACGGTATATCATTCGGCAAAAGCTCGATTGCTTGGTGCGGCTGCCTTCTATGGTATCTATTGTTCTCCTGACTGACCGTAATTCCCTGTCTGTCTCTCTCTCTCTCTTTCTCTGATTTCTCTCTCTCCCTCTCTCTCTCTCTCTCTCTCTCTCTCTCTCTCTCTCTCTCTCTCTCTCTCTCTCTCTCTCTCTCTCTCTCTCTCTCTCTCTCTCTCTCTGTCTCTCTCTCTCTCTCTCTCTGTCTCTCTCTCTCTCTGTCTCTCTGTCTCTCTCTCTCTCTCTCTCTCTCTCTCTCTCTCTCTCTCTCTCTCTCTCTCTCTCTCCTCTCTCTCTCTCTCTCTCTCTCTCTCTCTCTCTCTCTCTCTCTCTCTCTCTCTCTCTCTCTCTCTCTCTCTCTCTCTCTCTCTCTCTCTCTCTCTCTCTCTCTCTCTCTCTCTCTCTCTATATCTCTCTCTCTCCCTCTCTCTATTCAGATGGTCTACCTGGAACGGCGCCATTCGTTTGCCGGGGAGCTGGTCAATATCAATTTCGATCTCTATATGCTGGGTAAGCTGACTCCGCCTAGCTTGACCAAAGCGCCGCAGCCCTCTGCTGTGGAGCATGACTCATCATCGCCATCTCCACTCCGTCATGTGCTGTCCTACGGCGACGTAGCCCGCTGCCACCTACCGGTGACGAGGGCCAATCGCGACGCAACACGGCGTCACCGTCGGGAAATGGACGGTGATTGTACCGACACGGATTACAGCGACACCGATACTGACTACGACCACATGACGGATTACGACAGCGACGACGGCGGAGACGACGATACTAACAGCGTTGCCGCCGAGAGTTTGACCGTCCACCAGCCCGCCTGCACTTGCCACCTCCTGGGCAGTGCGGCGGACAGCAATGGTACCAGCGTAGACGCCTGCCCGGGAATGGCCAGTGCCAGCAGCCCTGCTCCAGTCGCCGTCGGTAGGAATAACATCAAACGCATCGGCCGGCAATTGACAAGCTTTGTAATGGGATTAGTACGCTGGTGATGATCATCGTTTAGACTTTCGCTTTTTACCCTTAGAATACCCAGTAGCTAGTTTGTCGGTGTTTCTTGTCAAAGGTTTGAGCGTAGACATGTTGAGGGTTTATAAGCCTGTTTAGAGGGAATCAGATGCTAGCCAACACATCCGCAATGCACAGCTCAGCATCTCTCTAGCTGTAGAAGTGCCATCAACCAAACGTTTGTGCTTAGTACAATGGTCCATAGTGAACACAGCCGCGCAGCGTTTTGAAAGCCTATAAACTAGCTGCTTGTTGCGTACGGGATTGGCCGTGTTGCGAGTAACCCCCCTCACTTTGTGTACCACCTACCAGGTATCTAATATCTACAATTATAATATTATGAAGACGAGGTTGGTGCGTATATTATTACTATTACTATTATGCCCTGTGCCTTGAAAGCCAGATACCTATTCCTTATCTGTGTGTGTGTGTGTGTGCGTTTGTGTCTAAGCAGTGAATTGTGTTGTTCGATACTTTTCTCGTAGGCTCATCCCCACCCTACTATGGCCAAAGCTTGAGACCCCCCCCCCCTCCCCACACTTACACTTCAAGAAATAATTATTTCATTTCATTTTTTCTTGCCTATGTTTTACCCAACTACCCCTGTTTTGGCCATTTGACTGGCTTTTCCTGGCCTGATCAATTGTTGAGTTTTTTTTACAAGTTTGTACAATCGTCTTTTCATCTCAATGCCTTCCCGTTGACGTCATATGCAGTACTTGTGTCAGTCTAATGGTGGTACTTCAAGCACGGAAAGGAACCTATTCAAGATAATGATGTTTTTCGTGTGTGAAGATGTGTACGTACGCACGTACGTGTGTGTGTGTGGGGGGGGGGGGGGGTATGTGTGTGGGTATGTGTGTGTGTGTGTGGGTATGTGTGCGTGTGTATGTCACTGTGTGCGCCTGTGTGTGTGTGTGTGTGTGTGTGTGTGTGTGTGTGTGTGTGTGTGTGTGTGTGTGTGTGTGCGCGCGCGGAAAATCCACTTCACAGCTGTGTGGTGTAGACCAGGCTGAATAGTGGAGGTCAATTCTTCAGCCTTGTAAGCTGTTGAATGGTGCAATTCCAGAACAAGCTGCTTTGGCTTCTGCTGTAGCATCGCCTCCGGCGATGGGCATCAAAATGGTGAACTGGTGTGTGTGCGAGTCGAGTCGTTGGAGGGTGACTGCTCCGTCAAGGCGTTGCTCCAGACCAAAGCTAGTGCTACCTTCAATCGAGTATTTCTTTTGGTTTCTACTATTATAATTATGTACATGTACATGCATATCAGGGAATGCGTTTCCGCATGTGCACATTGCCATGGTAACGAACGATGTGGTACATGCAGGAGTCCGCATACTGTACCTTGTTGAGTGCTCCGTTGAGGCATAGCACATGTACATGACTGTGTCACACAGAGCTATTATGTAAATCACATAATAATATTTTTAATTTTGAAACTCGGATGTCCTTTTCCTTTCTAAATATAAAAAATTAAACTCGGATGTCCTTTTCCTTTCTAAATATAAAAAATTAAACTCGGATGTCCTTTTCCTTTCTAAATATAAAATTTTACTCGGATGGAGAGCCAAGGATTACAATTCAACAAGACTCAAGAGGACCAAAAGTTTACAAGTTATCCGTGATGCAGCTCAGCATCAGGTCGTTGAATGTCATCATTGTCATGATCTCATTAGGCACCGGCGGATTATGCCGGCGTAATTATTGGCATAATTATTTGGTGGTTGAAAATTTGGAGCATAATTTGGCATCCTCTCGGAGGTAGGAGCATACATGTAACTACACGATTATACCACACGTCCACAGTTCTAGTATGTAGGCTATACAAAAAATACAATTGTGCACAATGCACCTGATCAGTACAGTGCTGGTGGTCTGCAGGCTGACATCCCAAGATTAGGCTCCGGCGAATGGACCGTATGCGTGTTAAAACAAAATGGCGTCACGATTTATTGAAAGTGGTATAGTTGGTGGTACGAGTGTTCAAACCCATTTGAACTTCATACTGTTCGTCTTCTTTTTGACATGCTCTCTTTCCATCGTCCTTAGCTTTTGTTTGTTGAGAGCTGTTTTGGCTTTCTCCTATACCTCTGGGGGATGCCAAGTGATGGTTTTGAGAGGCTGGTGATGGCTGTGAGCGAGAGTTTGCCGATCGGCGTCGTCCTCGCTATAGCGATGAAAATATTACTAGTTACTGCGCACCTGGCAGATATCACAACACGTCGGAGCGTCCAGGAGCAAAGGAATCTTGGGTTTTCACTGGAATCTAGTTCCTCCAGCATCATGTAGCCCACCGTCGGTGAATGGCGGTCCAGAAAGGTCGAACCTGGTCTTCTGCAGCATCTCGCAGTCCTGCGAGGCACACTGAATACGCCTGTCATGTATTCTACAAATAAAAATCACGAAGTAGTGGACTTTACAGTGATGAGTCTATCCTGTATGCTGCAAAAGACGCAGGAAATGTGACTGGTGTCCGTACACTGGACGCCAATATCATCCCAGTCTTCTCCTGCAGGATCTGTTTGACATTGACATACCGGTATGCAGTGGGTCGACATTGGCCTGGTTTGGCAGCTATCTGCCTGGGTGGATGTAGCAGGTTTGCATTGGCGCGTCGTCCAGTCCGACATTTTCTTGTAACTGTGGAGTACCGGCAGGGTTTGAGAGGTTGCTCGTGCTGTGAACACATCTCTACTGCCTGTCTTGTCCTGGAAGTGCCGTCTCGCCGCTTCCTTGCTCTACAGTCACGCCGTTATTTCGCTTTGTTTCGTAGTGCAGCTCAAAACCTGCCCAAACAACTGTGAGCTTGCAACATGGTATGGACAAATTCACTCCCTGGGCCATGGCAAGATCTGTTCAGCGCGGGCTATTCCAACCTCCAAGTGCATGGTCACCGATCGATCCATGCGATGGTGGTTGACCTACAAAGAGCCAAGGTCTACGAGTACTACTATTGGATGCTGTCTACATGCAGTCAACAAAATCAAAGTACCTCAGTATGCCCCAGAATAGGGCATGTGCATCTATAGCATGACACAACAGGGGTTCTGGCGGCACCTGTCAAACAAGCAGTAGCGACTAGTGCCAGCTACCTATTGGAGGCTAGCCGCTACAGTCTGTCACTGGAGATAATTATTATGTTCACTGTTTAGACTGAGCACAATCAATGATGCCCAATCAATCTGCCCAATGTGTGTTCTGTTCCACCTAATTATAACGTCCCATCGCATCAACCCTACTACACGCACATGTTGTCACTCTAGCACGACTTGTGTTAATATTGTTTATTTTGATTCGCACGATAAATAGAGCACAATAAACGTTAACTTGACCGAAGGTTAAAGGTGACTGCAGATAGAGGAACACATCGAGGTACAGGTACCGGCATCAATACAGTATCAGAGAGAAACAAACAAAAATGAGAGGTACGCAGAAAAAACTCTCGTAAGCCCAAGGGGAAGTGGTTGATGAGGGATGAATGCACTCTCCACGCTCATCTACACTGTTCGTGGAAATGCACACATACATACAATAATATACAACATAGCAATAGCATGCACAGAACCGAACAATTTCATGTTCACACATGCAAGCACAGACCTCAACATTAGTACCAAAAGCCGATACAGACAATATCCCCATACACACAGACGCACACACACACACACACAATGTCCCATGTATGCGCCCGTGGCAAGAAAAGCACGCAAATCTACAAATGCACTGGATGTGAACCCACAGATTTTCTCTTATAGCAACGATAGCGGATCTGATTCTGAATGAAAACACACACAATACAATCATTGAATGCCCATCCGCAGATGATGGCAGGTCCTGAAAGAACAGGCAGTGTTCCAGTGATAGGGAACAGAACTTCGAGTGGCGAGTGAGGTATACACACACACACACACACACACACACACACACACACACACACACACACACACACACACACACACACACACACACACACGTGCGTGCGCGGGCACACACTAAAGTATTCAGAAATAGAATCGACATCGTAGTATTCATTGGTTGGGGAATGGAAAGGAAAATAAAACATTGCTGTAGGTTATTGTTGTAAGGACACTGGGAGCACAACAGAAAGGTAAGCAACTTGCTTTGAAGCAAAGAAAGTTATTATTCCACGGATTTCAGAAGGAAGGAACGTTCCAGAATGCTGCACTGGCAACAGGCGGCCTGCATTTGCGCGGCCCCTGCAGTCGGTCCAGCTGCCGGCCTTGCAGTGCTGAAAAGAATGTGCAGTACAGCATGTCACATAGTATCGCAGCCTGGACAAATAGGCGCTGGGAAGTCCTAGTTATGTGCTCACCTACACCACGATGCACCAATCTTCTGAGCTACTTTGGCAACAACTTTGTCCACTTGAGACTCCCATGGGCTGAGCCAGTTGTTGAGGGCTGCACCAAGGTGGACGGCAATGACCGCTGATGGCAAGGCAATCCATGACACACAGTCACTAGGGCATCGTCAACATGGCGCTGAGGCTGGATCGATAAAATCAACCTTTAGGCTGCCGCGGGGTTGACAACGAGGCCGCTGTCTCGAAGCTAGTCAGTCAGCCTGGTCACCGCCATTGACGAACCAGTCGCCACCGCCAGCAGTGGCGGTAGGTTGTGACAAGTGTGGTGCAATATTGTCAGCAAATTCAGTACTCAGGATAAGATGAGTGACAAAGGGAACGTTGTGTTTGATAATATTGAAGTGAACAGGGATGATCACAAACCCTGCGCGTACTCCACCGTGAGTTACACGAAAATTCCGGACTGGACGACGAGCAAACACCAACCTGCTACATCCAACCAGGCAGATACTATTACGATAGCTGCCAAACCAGGTCAATGCCGACCTACTGCATGTCAATGTCAAACAGATCCTGCAGGAGAAGACTGGGGTGTTGGCGTCCAGTCACTGAGTGTACAGACACCAGTCACATGTCCTGTGTCTTTTGCAGCATACAGGATAGACTCATCACTGTAAAGTCCACTACTTCGTGATTTTTATTTGTAGAATACATGACAGGCGTATTCAGTGTGCCTCGCAGGACTGCGAGATGCTGCAGAAGACCAGGTTCGACCTTTCTGGACCGCCATTCACCGACGGTGGGCTACACGATGCTGGAGGAACTAGATTCCAGTGAAAACCCAAGATTCCTTTGCTCCTGGACGCTCCGACGTGTTGTGATATCTGCCAGGTGCGCAGTAACTAGTATTTTCATCGCTATAGCGAGGACGACGCCGATCGGCAAACTCTCGCCCACAGCCATCACCAGCCTCTCAAAACCATCACTTGGCATCCCCCAGAGGTATAGGAGAAAGCCAAAACAGCTCTCAACAAACAAAAGCTAAGGACGATGGAAAGAGAGCATGTCAAAAAGAAGACGAACAGTATGAAGTTCAAATGGGTTTGAACCAGGGAGTCGTAAAAGCCCGGGAGAGGACACGGCACACATTCCCAGAAAACATCTTTGCCTCGCGCTGCCGGGGAACGCTGCCAGGGAACGGTGTTGCGAGGCAAGGAAATTATTATTTTCGAAAATTGTGATGTCTTCTTGAAATACTAATTGGGACATTCTCCGATTTCTCTTAGAGCACGGAGACGATTGCTCCGTCGAGTCTTCTGATCTCTATTTTCATCCTCATCTTCCAGCTGCCTCACTCATTCTCTCTCAGTTTATCGAAGTTAATTTATTCTGAGGCGATGGAAATGCAAGACAAATCCCTAATTGTACTTCACTTTTATTTGAGTTGGGG